TTCCCTACAATAAATTACATGACCAATGGATAGTGACTTCATGAACATCATGTGAATCCTGATAATTCATTGCAGCTCTTTCTTTTCATTATAATTCTTCTCCTAGGACTATCTTACCTCACCTGCAACTAGAAACACACCCTACAGATCTACAGTTTAAAGATAAACTTCTGTGCGACCCAGTATGGGGGAGCTGGCAGCCACTGCACTTTACATTGAATAAAACACAGACCTATGCCCACAACAGCCCGACAAAATAAGCAGAAGGTACGCAGGTATCGTACCTCCCTTTACTTCCCTCAATAACAGCATTCACATACTTTGCATAAGCCTTTTCCAACAGCGGAAGCCAAAACAAATCCTCCATCTGACACTGGGAAAAGCAGAGTTTACCCCCAAGGCAAGGCAACCGATCGTCAATGGTTACTTCCACCCAGTGTCCAAACTGCCAGACTCGACAAGTGAAACAGCCTTGGTACGACTCATCCGTCCAGCTGGGCTGACCTGGAGGGATCACCTAGATGGCGAAAGCCAAAATCAAGACAAATAACAATTCATGGGTTTTTAACTACATCAGTTTAAAATATGCTGATTGTTACAGAAAAACCAACCAACCACAACAAAACCAGTAAAACTATGCAGAACAAAACTGGTATTCGGTTTTGAGGTCTGGGATTTGAAAACAATACACAAATGTAACTGGGTGAAGAAAACTTCTGACATGCAAAACAAGAAACTTCTCTATACCTTATTCAGTAGGTATCTACTCTTCTGCAAAGCTACACAGGCACACAGGAACCAACAATCTCCCAGAATCCCCTGTTTCACTTGCACATCCTGCAGATTGTTTGAAAATAACCGAGGAGCAGAACAAATGTCCTGAAATTAAAAGAAAGGGAGTTAAAGCCAAACCCTGCACGACAGCCAAAGGAAGCCTGCACTTCAGGGAATGGAAGGGCTCCAGGGACCTCTCAAAAAGGGCATTTTTACCTCTAGAATATTTCCTCTTCAGACACAGCCTAAGCAAGCAGTAACAAATGCCTGCTTTGTGGCTATTTTGCAGGTACTTGATGTGAGGTAAATCTAGTTCCCACATGGATTTTAGTACATAAATGTCACCATCAGGTGCAACCTTAGCAGAAGCACCAATAAGGGAACGACAACATAATTCATCAGCTCATTTACCATCAACTGTGATATACACACCTGATACCATTCACATTGCGCTGCACATCCAAACTTAAAAGACCTTTCATAGGGCGAATAAAAACAGACTACTTGGTAGCAAAATAGATTATTTCAAATGCAAAGTCCTAAGCTATTTAATCTGATTTGAAAGCAAGTTTTTAAAATTATTCTTTTCTCCTCTATAAATGCTGCAAGAGATGGAAATTACCTGGTCACTCCTTAGTGGAGTAATAGTTGAGTAGTAATCAAGTTGTAAGGCTGCACACTGTGCTGTGGGAAGTCATTTATTTGCCAATTCTGTCTGACAACCAACAGCTCTATCGCTTTTCTACAGCCATCCCCAGATACAGGGGAGAAAAATAATACATAAAGACCACATATTATTTTTCTCCATTACATTTTATAGCCTTTTTCTTCCCCACACACAAAGGCAGTATCGTAATACTTCGCTCCAAATGCATTCTAGACATTCTACTCTCATATTGCTTGATCTGAAACCCAGCTGCAAGCTTAAAAGCAACATGACAAGTTAAAAACTTTTAAAAGTTTTCTTTTTATCAAAGAATAATTTTCCTCAACAATCGCAAAAAAATGCAACATCCTTCTGAAAAACTCTAAAATTCAGTCATTTGTATTCGAGAGCAATACATTGAAAAACTAGGGAAAAACATCATGCTATTTTTAAACTTAGTATGCATTTTATTTGCATAATGAAGTATAATCAGCATAAAATATCTGAATTTTTATTAAGCGTCAAGTAATGCAAAAGTTCTACATCAGGGTATAAATTAAACCTACAAACAAGCACCTCAACTTAAAAACTATAACGTATGAACTGTCAACACCAACATGTCCTGGTTTTATCACTTCTATATTTCTAAACAATAAAAACTCCTAGAAGCAGTCAGTCCACGTTAAATACCATTTACTACCTTGAAGTCCAATTCTGCTAATATCACTGGCTTTTAAATTTTAAAACTCACCTTAGGTCTCAACCAAGATATTTCACCTCTGAATTGGGCAAGCGGGGTACAATAATCAAAAAATATAGAGGTATCACTGGCTGGAAACGCGGGGTCTGTGTAAAGGTCTCTTTTCACAATCAATTGTTTTTTCTCTCCCAGCATTTTCAACACAATTCGAAGTAAACAGCCAGTTATTTCCACAACTTTATATTGCCAAACACCAACCTGGAACATAAACGAGCATGACTTGAGAAGTGTAACTGAGAAACAAATAAGCAAGAAAGATTTATTTAAATCTTTATTTAAAGCCTCTCGCTCTTTCCACGGAGTGCCTCGAACCACGCCATTGCCGGCTTCTTTCAGCACCTGATACCACCCCTGACGTTCGCCACTCTGATGGGAAAGAGAAGAGGAGGTCTCAGAAGAAGACTCACACGCAGGAGCCCACTTAGACCCTTCTATCCCCCAAAACGACCCCTGCCCCGGCGCTCTACGCACAGCGTCCTCACAAGGCCCCCTCCGCTCACACCCCTTTACCTCAGCAAGGCTCCCTCCGCACACACCTCCTCCTACTCGCGGCCCCCTATCCTGACACCCTTCCCCACAACAGCCCTCAACCAAGCCACCTCCGCACGCATCCTCCCTCACCACCCCACCACAAAAATCCCCTCAAGCCGCCTCCTCACCTCGGGGCGCGCCCCGCCGCCATGCCCGGAGCGGCCGTAACCGCGGCAACGCCGGACACCTCCTGCCCGGCCCCGAGGTAACGGGTTGGGCCACCGACCAATGAAGAGGCGGCAGGCGGCCACGTGGTGCTCGCACCACCAATGCGGCGCCGCCCGTCGCCGCCTGCTTGAGCAGGGAAGGGGCAGGTCCCAGCGTGCACCGCGGCGGGGTCCAGCCCACGGCCGGAGGCCGAGGGGATCCGCGGGGTCCGGTGTTGGTGGGAGCCGGGCAGTGGTGACCGACTGTTTTCGGGCACTCGGGCGGAGTTCTGAGCTCAGGAATACCTGGAAGAGACTGGAAGTTCTCTTAAGGAAAGCTTAACGGTCACCAGAGTAGCTGTTAGAGGCCGAGGAAAAGCAAACCGAGCTGTATTTTCATGAAGGTTACAGCAGAGAAGTTCCCAGGGAAATTGTTCACCTCCACAAAGCCGTTTTCCCGAGATAACGGCAAAGATCACATTTTCAGGAAGTCTATCGCCAAGCAATGTCCAAAGGCTGAACTGACAACCGTATTGCTTCTCATAGTTGATAGCTACTGCTGCCCAGTGAAATAGAAAATAGACGTGGAAAATACTGACTTGCTATAAACAAAGGAGAACGAAAAGAAAAAAATTACAAAGGAAAGAAAGGAAAGAAATGCTGACACAAGGCCCCTTACAGGCCACCCTTCAGTAAACCACTGGTAGTTCCAAGCACTTTGGGCCAGGTCCAGGTGTAGCACAGGAGGCCACTTTTTTGCATCTGGCCTTTTACAGTAGTGATTCTCGGAAAGCTCACGTGTTCAAGTAAGCAGGCTGCTGAGCCAGCGTGAGAAGACACCATGTTTACCAAAAATGCTAGTTTTCACACTCACCTACAATGATAGGTTTGAGTCAAAGGGTTATGTCAGCTGGTCCTCGGGCAGAGACCTACAATGATAGGTTTGAGTCAAAGGGTTGTCAGCTGGTCCTTGGGCAGAGAAGTTGTCTTAATGAGAGATCCACAGAAAACGCTGCTCTGATTTGTTCCTATCAGAAATGAATGCAGAAATCCTCTCAAACCTCCGCCTTAGCAGAATGGAAGGACTGGCAGGTAACCTGCAGATGATCCAGCAGCTCTCTGACCACTCATCCAGAAACACATTCTCCGCCCTTCGCTTATGCCGGTGGTACAGACACAAGGCTTCTTTGCTGCATACAACAAATTTAATCAACAAACAAGACTTCTCACGTTTGAGTTTTGACTCTCCGGAGCAAAGGAAACATTGCCGTCAGTAAGAATAAAGACCCCTCTGTCTGTGGCTCATGCATGAGAGCTGCAACTGCACCCACACAGGAGAGGTCTGTTTGGGGAGGGAAAAAGAAAGGCCTCTGTCTGAGGAACAGCGAGACTCAGCTGTGTGACTTCACCCTTGCTTTCTTTAGGAAACAGCAATCACAGACCTCAACTACACGAATTCTACTGAAGGGCAGATTATAGAAAGCAGTATGAATGTTGAGCTCTAACTGTAAATACAGTAAATCCAACCTGTTAAACACATAAGAGTATTTATTTATGGCGCTATTAGATGGATGCTGTCTTGGTCTCTAAGACATCTGATGTGCTTCCCTTGCGCCACTGGAAAGTTGGAAACCAGCAAATTCATCCATTACACAGCCAGTGATGGTTTGGGTTTGGGTTTTTTTCTATAAACCCAAAACTCTTTGTAAAAAAAGGCGCAGAGAATTTTCTCTGTTGCCTCTGGGCAGTCCTGCAGGATTAAACTGTTCCTGAAGACAAAAACACAAAAAGACAGCAAGTCTTGAAGATAATATTTTAAGACAAAAAGACATTTGCCTTTTTCTCAACCTGCTTCTCAGTGCACTTTGCACAGGTGCTTCATATTTCCTTGTAAAGGAGGAAAGCAGGCACCACGAGGCTGAGTCCAGTTGTAATGTAAACAGTCAAGAGGGATTTGCATCCAGTTAAATAGGGAGCTCATTTCCATGTAAATAAAAACTATCCTTTGACAGAATAGTATTTTCTATTCTCATGATCATGTACCAGGTTTTGGGTTTCATCAACTTCTTGTCCACTTTTGTCTCCAATTCCAGATGGCTCAAGGACAGGGAGAGGGGTAAAAGTGATCCGAGCAGTAGTGGTTGGGCCCAGGGTGTGTGTGTGTTTCTGCAGACTCTGACACACAGAAGTTGTTCAAGTTGCACAGGAGAGCTCTTCCAATTCTTTAGATCCCAATACCAGGCTAAGTCCCTGCAACACCACTAGGCTGAGAGGGATCAGAGCTGTCAGAGGAACAGCATGGAATGTCACTTTGCTTAGGGGAGATTTTGGAGGGGGAATTTGGGTTTTATGCTCAGAAGAGCATGGTATGGAGGAAGTCTCTGATGGTTTTCATTGGCCAGCCAGAAGCAGCCTGGTATCACAGTGCTCTCTTCAGCTTACTTCCAGAAAGACAGAGTAGCTTAGCTTAAGGAAGGCTCCACTGGCAATGAGTTTTCCAGAGCAGAAGGTGCATGCACACAGAGGAGGGGTGAGGGGAAGTGCTCACACAGGCTCAATCATTCAATGCAACCAACCAGTCTCCCTCTGCAGAGTGAAGTGTCACCTCCAGAGTATTTTTTTCCTACAGCCCTTTGCCTGTAAGAGGAAAGGTTGCCATGTCCATGTAAGACATGTTCTAACTGGTGCCCAAATTACTACTGTAATTAATGAAAGACCAGGATATTTATTAACAAAAATAATATTTTCAAGTTAGTGTGAATACACAGCAGCATTCGAGGCATTTTTTTAAGAAACAGCATGGGGTTCTGGCAATTTCCTCTTTAAAAGGATGCTGAAACACCATGCTCCACCCAGAGGTAAAGCAATACATGAAGTGTGGAAAACATACCTTGCAGCAAGAGACCAAACAACTCCATCTGTTTTCTCTTAAGAGGTACTTACATGAGAAAGACCTTAGTAACAGCAAGCAGTTTGTGTTTCACAAACAAATCAGTAGTTTCAAGAGCTGGATGCAGAAACTAGACAAATTCAAACTAGAAGTCAGGTATGCTGTTTGAGGAGTGCACGTAACAAAGCTAGAACAGCTTACCTGAGGCCTCTACAAATTCACTCTCACTTAGAATGAAAAATAATTCTGCATCTCAGAAAATAGTGGCTTTCTAAATCTCACACTGTGATTTCTACTGCAGTTTCTTTCATGCACAGTCTGATATTGTGGTTGTAACAACTTTAAGCTTTTATGAATTTATGGTGAAAAGTGTGAAAACAAGTGTGATTGCTAAGCGTTGACTGTTGTGCTGGTTTATTTTTGGGCAAACACAAAGAGTGAAGACAGACCAAAGAACTGTACTGGACCCAGGTGAACTGTGCAGCACCTGCGCTTAGCTCAGACGTACAGAAGATCCTGCGTTATCTGGAAAAGGCAACGGCCAAGGTTGCTGCAGTGCAAGAACATGAGAAAATTTGGGTTAAATCCAAACGTCTGGGATGTTTGGTAGAATTGTTCTTGGTTAACTGAGTGCACGGTTAGGATATTGCAATGTATCCTGACAGCAAAATTACAAGCTTAAACTGTATGTATATATGTATCTATGTGTATATATGTACATAGTATATATGTGCAGCTAACAAGAATTACACTTTACCTGTTAACCAGTGTGGCTATGAAATGCTAAAAGGTTAAGTTCACAACATTGTATTTTATTGAAAGGGTCTGGCTCTTCAGAGCTTTTCCACAAGGGATAGTTTTAGATCTCATGCTGCTTTGCTTAAGGCTGCAATAAAATAAAGTAACAGCTTTATTTTCAAAATAAAGAAGATAACCCTATCTCTTGGCATCTGCTTAAACAAACCCGATTTGCTGGACTAATCTTACTTTAACCGATCAGAAATGAATGTACCAAAGATAAGGCGAATAAATAGTTTCTATTTAACCTCAGTCTAATTTGCCTGTCAATGTGAAGTCTCCTACAAATCAAGACAGAAAGTAGCCTGAAGCATTAATTTATTGTGTGTCAACAAAAGGAAAGCTTATCTCCACAAACTTGCTGCCAATTTTTCGTCTCTTCAAAATAAAAATGCACTCCTTGCTTGCAGGAGGAGCAAAAGTACCTGAAGAAGGGCACACAGAGTACTTTCAACAGATCTTGCTCTGCTTCTGTGTTTCGGAGAACAAGTCCTGTGAAAACAGCCATCTCACAGAGCTGAGAGCAGAAACACCAACTCAGATCTCATGTTCTTTAATCAGGAAACAGTCTGTTGGGTTACGCCAGCATTTCCCTGCCCTGATGCATCTATATGCAAACAAACAGCTGCTCTGATGCATTTCAGTGTAGTAACAACAGATAATATTTACTTTTGATTATTTGCTTTTGCCACCTCCACAACTTCTCACTGTGCAGCTTTTAGCTTCCAGATTCTCTCTACGCTGCGCTCCAGAAACGGACAAAACAAAGACAACGAAACCAAATCAGCTCTTCCACACACGTACAGCAGGGACGCTGAAAAACTGCCCCAAAGGCCAAACTTGTCACAAAGCTTCGTTTAATTTGACAATCATCATAAGGCATCCATGTAAATTAAAAATTCCCACCAGGGTCACATACATTCTCCCACAAAATACAAGTTAAAAAGAAGGCCTGGGATCCCAAAAGACGCTAGTGGTTACTGGTCTTGGCCAGGCTGCCGCTGCTGCTGGGGTCCAGGAGACGCAGCACCAGCAGCGGCAACGCGGGAAGTGGAAAGTCAGCTTGCACAAATCTCTTTCAATACAACAACAAATAAAAAGGAAAGAAATTTGTACAGAAAACATCATTCTCCATCCTTTCTGGGAAAACAAAACAGAACGAAAAAGATAACCCCACTCGAGGGCCAAAGAGCAGAGCTTGGAGTTCTGAAGCCCAACAACGCTGGTGGCCCATTTTGAAAACTAATTAAGCACTACAGAGGCCTGAGTTTATTATTGCTTTATCCCAGTTCAGCCCAGGCTAAGGCTACGGTGAAGTCCAAATCAATTTAAAGCCAGAAAATGCAGATCCAGTAACAGCACCTAAGTCCCCATCCACACATGGGTGTAAACAGATACTTTTGGTGAAAAAAAAAAAAATTCTCCCGAATTTCCCCTCTTCCTGTGCTATGTAAATCCCCATAGCAGGGCTAAATTTGCCCCAAAGCATATAACAGATTCTCTCTCACCTCTCCTTTAGCTGAGCCTCTTCCAAATGTTTCATCTTTTATCCAAACTAGTCCTCTATCCTGTGGGGCACACAGCTACCCACATGTCAAAATAATGTGACACGGGGCGTATCAACCATCACCTGTACTCTCTAATAGCCAACAATGATTTGCCCTCAGCTTCCCAAGACCAAATGGCGTGGACGGAAGAGAGTAACTCCCCATCTTGCATGGCTGAAACAGGAGAAATAGCACGCTGTGCAAATGAAATGGCATCTTACCACCTCCACAAGTCAGAAAACAGACTTGGGTACAGCGGGGCTTAGAAGTTTCGCATCAAGAGAGGGTGCTTCCCTCGGATTGTTGTACAACTGGGCAACTGTTATTCAGGCAGATGTTATTCAAGGCAGTAAAATCTTACTGTGGATATCTCCATGGCTGACTTCCAGGCCCAACATATGCTAGGGATCTTTTAAAAAATTAAATTAAAGGTCCTGTTAATTCTTCCAAAAGGACAGAATAGAAGACACACAGTGCATCTGACGAACGCACGTGCTACATATCCTGACACACTAACAAAGGTTGCAGCTAGACTTGTCAAAACAGTTAAAGAGATTTAGGCATCCAGTTAGTACTGATCGATGGCATTTGAGCACCTAAATTTAACTTTTTTGAAAATTCGAGCCTACGCGTCTCTTTATTGCTTGTCCCATTGAGTGCAAAGGGAAAAACTGAGGGCAGGGTTAACTACAGAAAGATTTCAAATCCATCATAAGGTGTCCCTGTTCTTTTATATATATATTTATATATATATAAAGCATTATTATTATTTAGCCACCCAGGGGCAGAGGGAACAGGAGCTCTTTAAAATTAGTTTCTTAATTATTTCAGCATTAGTCCCCTACCTCCCAAATCACAATACCTCTGTCACAGTCAGGAGCATAACATGAAAAGGTGTTTGGTGCCACTGAGAATTCCTGAGTCTCTCCTTTGCAGAGCTTCAGCCCAAATATTCAGGGTAACAGCAGCTTGACACATATACACTCCCCAGGAACGTACACACAGCAAGCAGGACGTGCCTCAGTGGCCTCAGACAAAAAGAAATAGGAAGAAAAATAGAAAAAACCAAAACCCAAACAAACCACCAACCAACAAACATGGAGAAACCAGCCAGAAGAGCCTCAGGAAAGGGAACTGTCCACTTTCCATGGAGAAGCAACTGCCCAGGAGTCCCTGCCCAGTATAAACTGATTCAAAATATCCATCCCACAGCTGACGAAGATCTCTGAAACGTGGCAGTGTCACATGCTGGATACTCGAAGGCACATTTGCTTTGTGTTTTGGGAGAGAAATCCAGTTACAACAACACACTGCAGCTGCAGGGCTGAGGGAAAGCAGGCGACACTTGGGATCTTTCCTCTGTTCCTGTCCCCATTTTCAAGCTTCATGGCTGGCATGAGCTGGTGATCTACGCAGACACATTAACATCCCTGAGTGAAATGGCACCGTTTGTGGCCTCTGAGACTTTGTCCTCAAGCACCATTGCTGGCCTGTCTGCAGTGACTGCTGTAGTGTCTATGGCAGGAAGTGGATTCAAGCCCTGTGATAAAATCATTTGGATGGTTTTCCGCAAATTGGGGTGCAGCTGGTTTTGGGTCTGGTAAAAAATTTCTAAGGCAAAAGACTTGAGGGTGCCAGTGCAAAGGTCCTCATAAAGTGGAATCGTGTACATCCGAGACATCTGCAAAAGAGGAAAACTGGATAATATCACTTCAGTAAAAGTCAAGAGGTTCAGCTCTTCTACAGCTCCACTCCAACAGCCCTGACTGACTCCAGTCTGGAGACAAGCAACACATTTCCTCTAGAGGCAGCCAAGTTTATTCTAAGTAAGTTTAACACACAGATTTTTATGAATGATAACAAAAAACCTCCCATTTGCTCTCCAAGACTGAGCTACTTCCACAAATAACAGAACTATTTTTAAAAGGCCAAGGAAAAGAGGCCACAGTGAACACATGCATTAACCTTTTGCTCCTGCACAGTAAAAACTACTGAAAGGAATTTGATGAGCCCTAGCCTTGCTGGCAGTGTAAATATTCAAACAATCACACAATTTAGTACTGTGAACATTTCTGGTCTGGAAAAGCCAGGACTGTTACACAGCAACACACAAAATGTACCGGGCAGAGCTGGGACGAGGCATTGAGTTAGGCTAGGAAAGCAGAGATTATCTGTAGGCATTTCAATGACATCTGTCCATTCCTCCCCACCCGCTAGCAGGTGAGCCATGCTCAGCCCCTTCGCAACACACCTGGTCTACACTTGGCCAGGAAGCAGAAGTTCCAAGGTCTTTCACGTCGCATGTCTCATGCACATGTCTCATGCACTGAGAGCTGCAGTGATTTTAATCCAGCAGTTAGTACCTGGTTTTCCAAGAAGCGACGGACTTTGTAAAGGTCTGGATAATAGTCATTTCGGACTACAATCTGCAACCAGCGGATACGGATTTCTGCATTCATGGAGTCCAGCTGAGAGGAGTAACATTCCGAAAGCTTTTTTATCACCTCTGAAGAGAGCACATACACAGAGAAAGAACTGTGAGATATTCTGTCAAACTTGAGGGTCAGCAGAGAATAATGAATCTTAAAATCACAGAATCACAGAATGGCTTGGGTTGGAAAAGACTTTTGAAGATCACTTAGTTCAACCCTCCCGCCATGGGCAGGGATATCTTTCACTAGACCACGTTGCCATGATCCCAACTTTGTGTGAATGATAAGGTCAGCGAGGAGTAGGGCTCTGGAGAATTCAATTAATTATCCCCGAAACGCTTTTCTGCTGTCCTGATAGAGCACTCACCATGTGGCAGTGGTGACCCGTCCAGCAATCTGTCCAAGAAAAGCACGGTTTGGAACGTTCTCCACTTAGTGAGATCAAAACTGCTGGCGGCAGCAGCAGAGTCCAGAGGCTCCGTGGTCCAGAGTTTGAAGAGTGTCTCCACTGGTCTGGTCAGACTGGATCCCTGAGATAAGTCTGGCTCAGCTAACGGAGGTCCTGTAGCATTGAGCCAACGTTCAAACTCCAGTCCTGGAATGAGGAGCACCAAAAATGTCGAGCAGGAGTCTCTGCAGGTGGCTTGGCTGCCTCAAGGTTCAGGACTGCTTCTAGCACAGTTAAGAGAGGTTCTAACAATAGCAAATCAGACCAACCTATAGTTACAGCAACACAACAGTCGTATCAGGCTAGCCTACGGTACGCCCGGAAGAGTGCCAGCAACACCTCTCCAAATTTAACCAGGAATTTTCTAGAGCTCAACATTACAGTGAGGAAGTACAAGTGTTGTGGTTTAGCCTGGCAAACATCTAAACACAGTTTGCTCACTCAGCTCTCCCCAACTTCCCAGTGGGATGGGGAAGAGATTCAGGAGAGTAAAAGTAAAGAACTCATCAGCTGATATAAAGACTATTTAATAACTAAAATGAACCAAACTTAAATAATGACAATTCCAATTAATTGTAACAAGAATAGGAAGGATAACAATGCGATCAAAGATATACTCAGCTCACAAGCAGCCAACCGAAACTCGACAGGAGGGGTAAGCCTCAGGAAGCGAGACGGGCATCATCATGAAAGAGAGGGGAAGGGATTAAAGAAGGAGGAGGAAGGGCTGAAGGGGTTTGAAGGGGTTGCTCCCTGCAAGCTCCCCAATTTATAGTGAGTGTGATGTTTATGGGATAGAATACATCTTTACTGGTCAGCTTGGATCATAACCAGATCATCTGTCCTGAGTCACCTATCCCAGAGAGACCCTGGCTCTTCCTTCTCCCCCCCTTTCTCTTGTGCAGCAAGAAAACAAAACAAACCAGAACAAACTATAACCTCAGGTACAGGGGAATCCTTGAAAAGCACAAATATCTGCCAGCTAAAATGAAAACAATAACCTTATCAGCTTCATAAGGAAAATAACTTCATTCCAGCCAAAGCTATAATGTCAACTTCTGTTATTAAAGCAAAGGCAGCATTCTCAACAAACTCCAGCTCTGACTGAAGCATTAAAAAGGATTCTACAATTCAGTCCTAGCAAAACCAGGACAACGAGAAACACACATGCTCTTAAGACAGCCAGGATAACAAGTATCCATGATCAAATTATGTTCTAATAAAAATTTTTATGTATGCATTTCTCTTTCTCAGAATTTTGAAGAAGAGTGAAGAATGTGGGAAAAATCTGCTTAACAAAAGAAAAATATTTATTTATACAATCAATAACTGAAACAAAAAAAAAATTCTCCACAAGTGGCAGAGGTAGCAGAGCCTGGTTTCCAACACAGCTCTTCCCCTTGACCCTTCACCACCTCAGCACTTTCCTAACCCTTGGCAATACTTCCCGTTCCACATCATCTACCCTAAAATTCTTCTCTCCTGCATCCAGTCAATGTTAAGCCAGGCAGACGTTAACACATGCTGTGGTTAACTCATTAGGCAACCAGCAGGCCAAATCAAACATACAACTGCTGAGCTCATGCTGCAGCTTTTCCCACAGCAGGCTCGTTCATCTGCACTGCTCCACAGGCAGCTTGCTCAAAGCCTGTAGGAACCTGGTATCCTTAAGAGCTGTACTCCACTGCCAGTCTGCTTTAAACTAATTAAAAATAACTGGTTTGACAATTACTTGCAAGGATGGACACATGGCAGGATAACATTAGTCTCATTTCTTTAAATAAGTGAGCTAATAAGCACCTAATAGATTACAGACCTTTCATAAATCCACCAACAGCTATAAATGGGGGATATAAGGGAGACCAAAACATTATGGAAGAGGTTTTATGTGCATGGATGGACCTTGGGAAAAGTTACAGTTCTCAAAGCATGTTTTCTGTAATTAAAATAGATGAAATTTCAAAGTGTGTTCACCATTTCCTTGCATTTCAGCACGTGTAAATCTCACATGCACTGATCATTCTATCTGCAGTGTGAAAGATGAGTTAATGAGAAAGTTAACTGAGGGCCACTCAGCTAATTAATGCCAAAACTGCCAGCAATTTCAGATGTTCTCATTCCCCAGTATGAGGCAGTAATAAATCACCAGTCATTTGTATCATGAACATCTGGCTGTTACCAAAGTGTTTTTGTTTGCTGTAGCATTTTCTTGTGCATCCTCCAAGCCAAGCACAAAATTTATCACCCAGATTTTTTACAGTGTTTACAGTTAACTAAGTATATTTCCTACCTGCTTTGCTCTCAACACATTGCTTTTTCAGCTCTGGAAAAAAATTCAGGAAGGAATCCAGAAGATCTTGAGCCACAACACTGGTAAATTTGTACTTCTCGATGTAGGCCTGAGACAGTAAAAAGGAGAAGTTATGGTTAGGAGAAAGACAGCTTCCTTTTGATGTAGAACCACTGCGTGCAATACAAAAAGTAGAGATGGAAGAGTGAGAACAAGTATTTGGAAGGTTTAAAAAAAAAAAAAATATATATA